ACCCCACGGCCTCTGTGGTGAGTTTCCAAAGAGCATTTGTCACAGTTGGTTGGTAGTCAGTGTCGTTCGCCACACCATACGCTCTCAAGTTTCGATATGCGACACCCAATTTCGACGGTTTGTAGTAATCTTTATCAAGCTCATATTGCTTCCGTTGATTCTTGACCCAAAACTTGGCATCGAATTTGTCAGAATCCGGATCCAATCTTTCATCTTTTTCTTCCTCAAGGAGGGGGTTTACTCCTGGAACTTCAGACATGTGTGTTAAATACCTTCTCAAGCTGGGGGCGGGGGAGGAAGAGTCATCTCTGCTGAACTTTTTTGCTAAACGGTGAACGTCCTCGTCATTGAAGCCACGGTAGTTTCCCCTCGATTGATGGTCGGAGGGGTTTTTCTCAGCTTCATTCCCCAGCTGAGTCGATGAGCCCCGACTAGACGTCTGTTCAAGGTTGCCCATTGATTCAATATCTTAGCTTTTGATCCAGAATGAGGAGAGCAATGGCTTGGTAGTTGAGCTTTGTAGTACAGAATTCAAGTGGGGTTTTTATATGCTTAATGGGAACGCTTTTAACATATTTAAAAATGTCTGATGTTTTCCATATTTATATATAATTCAGTGTCGGATTGGTTACCAAGGAGGGCCCTCACTGGTTGCTGAAGTTTAATGCAAAGATTGCATGCATCAAGTACTTCACGTAATGGTTATTTTCTGTATCAATGTATTAAAGTGCACAAAGATACAATAAGACTAAAAGTATCTTCTGGTGCACGGAGTTAGCCCTTTTCTTTTCTCTTTTCTAAAGCCTGTAGCTATTGCTGCAGATTCACTCCTAACCACACACTTGGCAAAAGGGTTTACTAGCCAATCGTCTATTCTTTTCCTTTAGTTTGTAGCACGCTTCAGCGTATGCATGAGCTTAGTTATCCGACGTTGGGATAGGAATTATGTTCTGGAGTTAAACTAAGTTTTAAGTTTCTGTGCATGATCACTAACACAAAGTCAAAGTATGATCGGATGATTATTTTATTTTGAGTGACAGAACATGAAATACAAGAGGATGGGAATAACTTATGGCGATGTATATAAATGAGGGAAAATGGTAACCAACTAACCAAATGATTAGTCCTGTCATGCAATCTAAATTCATCATATTGCAGTTAAATTTGTGCTGATTTTGCGCAAAATCAGCATATGATATTTACAAAAGCCGCTTTTAGAATAGTCAAAAGAACATTCAGTGGAGAAGTTTGGCACCAGGGGAATTGCAGTTGTTATTGAATCAAGAATCTCATTTTGTAAACCGTACATTAACTTTTGTATGCGAACTGCACACTATCCTTCTTGTTTTCTGGGCACGCAAACTCAATAAAATAATCGCGCATATTGTATACGCAAAAACGATCGTCAAACAAAATTCATATTCTATTTATAGAGGGATTAAAACTATTTGGTTGCAAAACCAAATACTGCTTGCACATTGCCAAACAACACGACTCGTGTCCAAATCATTATTTTGCTAGAATAGTTATTCACCAGTGGATTTGCTTACCTGAGAGTCAAAATTTGAGAATTATAGGTATGGAGAAGCATCTGCTCCAAGTTCCCACAAAGGTAATCGTTGACGACAAATCAAACACGAACTTTGACTCTAAAAATCTTCTATTATTGGGTGCTCTCACACATGATATAAGCATTATAAACAATTTATTAATAAAAAACAAAAAAAAAACAAAACAAAATGATCTCACCGTCCGTTCTTAAAACACCTACTTTTCATTCT